TCCTCTGGTCCTGCTCCTTGATCCTTTGCTCAAGGAACTCGATATGCTTGTGATATTGGTTCTGGTTGTGTTTGTTTATTCTGTCGATTAGTTGTACATGAACAGTCACTGCCGAATAATTCGTATGCATGTTATTTATTTCGCTCTGGAAATTTAGTGCAATCATGTCCATTTTTCCCATGTTTGCGGCCATTGCCGTGTTCTCGCCCTTGATTTTATCAAACTCCTTGCACAGGAAGACATAATGTGCGCAGGCCTCGTGGTACTTACCTCCATCACTGGTCGCCGCATATTCGAGCTTGTCCATGCGCCGCCAGAGCTGCGTCACCTCTTTGATTTTGTAGTCGGCATCGTCCATGCGCCACTTGAGATGCGTCGACTCTCCTGGCCCATCTTTGAGAAACCATTCTATTTTTTCATCGTCTGTATACTTGTGCTCCCCTGTCATTGCCGGGTGGCGGCTGGCGCGCCGCGCGCTCGCAGGGGGCGGGGGCCGGGTGGCGGCTGGCGCGCGGGATGCACCCCGCCTGACCCCGAATGGCGACGATGGTGGCCCTCCTCCTTTCCCCCCCGCGTTGAAGACAGGATTCTCGGGGCTGCGAACTGCGAAACTGTTCGCACTTTCGCGGGTTCCTGGGAGTCGACTTTTCGTCATGATCGCGCGGCCTCGGTGGGCCAACGTTCGCGGGGCTGGGGTGATCGGTTTCCATCCCCTGAGAATCTCCCCGATCATTGGAGTACCCCCTCCCCATGGAGGATCAGGGTGACAGGAGAGCGGGCCTGGAGGAGGAGGAGGAGGAGGATGGGGTCATCTTGTCAGCGGAAGGTCAGCGCATGCGCGTTGAACTTCACTGTTTAAAGGGTGGGTTCACAAGAGATGTAGGATGATTTTGAATACAGTGTTTGTTCTTTTTGTTAACCCTCAACCTACATTATATAATTCACTATAAGCTGAGTTCTACATCTGGAGCGCTTGGGTGGCTTTGAGCTGCGGCCTCGCCTATGGTAATGGCCTGGCACCAACTGCGCGACTAGGCAGGCGGCTGAGAGTCTTCGGGCATGTCGACATCTATCGGCCAGCTGTCCTCGTCGAGCTCAACCTCTCCATGCACGTCGCTCTTCTCGACGACGAGGATATCGGAAGATGTGTTAATTTTTTCTCGAGCGTCTTTGTTCTGATTGGGCCAGCGGGGCGAGGGGCCACCCACCTCTAATCCGTTTTTTCCCGGGAGCTCTGGGATATAAATGAGAAGCGCCTCCCAAAGAAACGCCGATGAGGCGGATCTCGGGGCAGCCCTGGAGCCGTTGCATCAGCGCGGTTACAGCAGCAGAGGGGTCTCTCATCTCTACTCCGTTTTTCCCGAGCGCTCTGGAAAACAAATGAGAAGTGCCTCCCAAAGAAACGCCGACGAGGCGGATTTCGTGGCAACCCCAGAACCGTCCCATCAGCACGGCTACAGCAGCAGAGGGGCCATTCATTCTACTCCGTTCTTCCGGGTCGTCTTGGGGTAGAAACGTACAGCAGCTCGCAAGCCAACGCCGACGGAACTCGGGGCAGCCCCGGAACCGCACTGAGGGCACGGGGCGGAAGGAACTTGGGGGAGCACGAACAGCATCAATGATAGGCCGCCGTGGGGAACTGCTGGGGAAAAACGCTGCACTTGCTCGACTATATTGTCTGGAAGGGATCTCGCTGATTTCAAATCTCTCACTCGAGGTTGTCTGGGGGCAGGGGCTTCTCCTCCTTCTGGCTGTCTCGTGGCTGAGATGAGCCCGACGTTCCGGGCGGACTGGCCATCTGGATCACCTCCCACTTGGACTTGTTCATGTTCTGAATGGCTTGCCCCTGTTGCTGCATTACACTCATCATGCACTCCATCGTCTGGCGATTCTCCATCATCATCTGGTCGGTGTTCTGCTGCTGGGCCTTCCGCGTGTTGATCTGCTCGATCTGCTCGTTCATCAGCGCTGAACGGCTCTTCTTCTCTCCCCTCTGGTTGTGCTGAGCCGGGCCCTCCGCCGCGCGCCTTAATAGGCGAGGCTGGGTTAGTGGAAGCTGCTCCTCCTCCATGGGCGTCTCCTCCTCCTTGGACGGGTCGGCGATCACGCGGCTGTAGTCCCCCCGATTCTCCCCGCGCACCGGGTTTGGTTTGATTAGACTGTTTTTGCACGTTGATTGCGGCCTGGGATCGGGGATCACCTCGGTGATGGTGCAGTTGAGAATCAGGCTGACGGACTTTGGTAGAGGACCCAGGGCTTTCAGCTGCCGCTGGTCCCTGTATGCGATCCGCTGCCCGCATCTCTCGCATGTCCACCACTTGCCGCGCTTGTTGGACCCTGATGAGATCTCCACCATGGGATGGCGGCAACTCATCTGGCGCTCTCTCAAGCGTCGATCCGTCTCTCTGGTCTTGATAGTGAAGAGACGCCGCGCATGAAGCATGTTGCGCAGCTCGCGACTGATCATGCACGTCATACTCATTACCAGGGATGTCCGAATGATCCAATGCCTCTCGGCCAGATTGAGATCTACTGGTGCGTCGTTGTCCGTGAGAACATACTTCCCTGCGAACGCATGAACCGGAGTCCCTGACGCAGGCATCCCTCTCGGACAGGGCGGACAATCACTGATCGAGCGTCAACTGGTCCTTTTGCTTGAGCCAAGAGGATGTCCGGTGCGATGATCTTGCCAGTCGCAGATCCCCAAGAACGCGCCCGGACACGTCTGAATCGACAACCCATGGAAACTCCAAGCCCTCGTTTATCGGAAAGTCCCTGGAAAGTGTTTTGCCGTTGTTTTCGATGATGTTTCGGTCGTCGGCGGTCGTAGACATCGTCTCTTGCTTTTGTGGGTCGTCGTCGTTTCGTCGAGTCGAGTCGTCGGAGCCTGCGGGGATTCCGCCCTTGGGACCTGGTCCGTCGAGCTGGGGCCCAGAGAAATCGTCCTCCTCCTCCTCCTCCTCCTCCTCTTCCTCCTCCTCTTCCTCCTCCTCACCCTGCTCGTCCTCCGCCTCCTTCTCCTCCTCCTCCTCCTCCTCCTAGAGCGGGTGCCATGCGCGGATCGGGCCTTCCGGAGGTTCATCTTCCAGGGAATCCGTTTTCGGGCATTCAGGGTCGTCGACAACGACGTTCGGGGTCGAAATCGATGGACCCGAACGATTTCCGGGCCCCAGGGCCATCAAAAGCGCTTCCAAGAGTTCTTTGCATGCTCGCACGCTGGGGGATGTGTGCAGTCGCCCCCGTGGTGGAGGAATGACTAGGCTATACAGGCGACTCTCTCTCTCTCTCTCTCTCTCTCTCTCTCTCTCTCTCTCTCTCTCTCTCTCTCTCTCTCTCTCTCTCTCTCTCTCTCTCTCTCTCTCTCTCTCATCTCTCTCTCTCTCTCTCTCTCTCTCTCTCTCTCTCTCTCTCTCTCTCTCTCTCTCTCTCTCTCTCTCTCTCTCTCTCTCTCTCTCTCTCTCTCTCTCTCTCTCTCTCTCTCTCTCTCTCTCTCTCTCTCTCTCTCTCTCTCTCTCTCTCTCTCTCTCTCTCTCTCTCTCTCTCTCTCTCTCTCTCTCTCTCTGTCTGCGCACCGTCCCCTCCCTCGCCCCCCCTCCCTCCCTCCTCCCCCGATGGTCGTCCGTCGTCGTCGTCGTATCGGCGTCATCTCTGGCCCTCCCGCTCGACCCCTTCATCTTCATCCGCCTCGTCATCCTCCTCCTCCCCTTATATTCTCTCACCCCTCCTGTCTCCGCCCTTTTCACTCCTCCCTCTTGCGTCTTACATGCAGATAAAGGCAGACTACAACACATGCAGAAGTAGATAGGAACGAGGGTTTTCAATGATACGAGGCAGGAGAGATGGGCAAATATGTGTTTCGACTGTGCCCGCGGCTGCCCGCGGGGCAACCCCGGGCGCGGACCTATCAACTATCCGCTCCTCGCGAGGCAGCGCCCCCACTCACGGGCGCAACGCCTAAATCACGTGGCAGTGCAACATATGTATATGAAAGGATATAAGAGAGCCAGGGCGTAACTCGAGGCAACCCCGGAAGCGCTCCGTCTCCCTCGGACGATGCATGGTGCTGATTATGAGCTAATGGAGCGCGAGTGCGCAGTGGCACCGCGGCTGCCTCTGGGATGGCGCGAGAGCACCCTGAATATGACCCTGCGCGAGTGTTGTTTTTTTTTTTTTTTTTTTTTTTTTTTTTTTTTTTTTTTTTTTTTTTTTTTTTTTTTTTTTTTTTTTTTTTTTTTTTTTTTTTTTTTTTTTTTTGCGGTGTCTTTTGTGGCTTCTGGTGAACCTCGTGGGGCCTTCTTGGATTTCCTTTGCGGCTCCTCGGGTATTCTGTTCGGAAAGTCTCGGGAGTTCCCTTTAGCAGGGTTCGAGGGCTCCGACAGGATCCCAGGAAGGTCTGAGAGATCTCCAAGAGAGCCCCCCCCCAAAGAGGCATAAAGTATATGCAAGAGTTGATCTCTTTTTGGATGCTTTTGGGATCTACTGGGGGCCCTCATTGGGCCTTCTTGGATTCCTGGTGAGCGCTTTGGGGATTCGGAAAATCTCGGGAACTCTCTGAAACAGGTTCCCTTAGAGGGACAAAGTATATGCGCCTGCGTGACTCTTTTTGGGTGCCCTTTGGGATCCACTGGGGGCCCCTGGAGATTAGAGAGCCCTCTAATAATCTCCTGGGGCCTCAAGAAGCCCCAAGAGGCTTCCAAGAAGCCTCAAGAGGCTCTTAAAAACCCCCAAGAGGCTCCCAGAAAACTTCCAACAGGCCCGATACTGAGCTCAAGAGGCCCCAAGAGGATTTCATTAAATCCCAAAAGGCGCCCAAGAGGCGCTCAGAAGTATCAGCCATCCACGAGATCCCAACCATTCATGAGGTTCTGATGCGCGGAGGTCGGCTGACGGCCGAAGTTCAGTCCGCTGTCACAGTGCCCATTACGCAGCCGGTCTGGAGAATGACGTCCATGAGTTTGACGATCGCCTTCAAGTTCTCCGGCCACGTCGGGGCCCTTGTCTAAGCACCCATGACGCCAGGCCGTCGGGACACGCAGGCGGCACGGGGGCTTTCTCTCGAATCGGCGCGGGGAGGCTCTTGTAGATCTTGTTGTAGATATCGCAGGGCTGTTCCTCCTCCTTGGCGCGCGCCAGGGGCCCCATCTGAGTGCGCCTTTTCATCTCGCCGCGGACGTGCCTCGTGACCTTCGCGAGCAGCTCGGACTCCGCATTCGTGTAGCCCTCCGCTGACGCCGCTTGAGCGGCGATCTTCATTGTATTCTTGGCGGACATGAGCGCCTGCAACTGCTCGCTGCTGGCGCCCCGCGCCTTAGCGGACGCGATGAGCGTGTCCAAATATTTGAGGAACCGCTCGGGGTCGTGCAAGAGAGCTGTCTGGTGAAGCTCATCCGTGAGCGCGGCCAGGGCCCTGATGTCGTCGGTGAGCTCGTCCTGCAACTCAAGGTACTTGTCCATGGCGCCGAGCGCGGCGCCCTCGATGGAGTTGTTGTTCTTGTTCCAGCGATTGATCAAATCCTCAGGCACGACTTCCTCCCACTGCGTCTCCGATCGCAAGATGAACATAGCGTTCCTGTGCTCGGAATAGCGGCATTTGTTAGGGCATATCGTACAATGCCCATTCTTGTCCATTGCGATGCATTGATGCTTCTCGCCGTCATCGAAAGCGCAAATTTCGTGGCAAGTTACGTGGCATTTTAAGCAGAGGGTAGTCTTTTTCCCATCAGCAACCGGCTCTTCCTTGACGATGACAGTGCTGACCCTCACCTTTTCGCCCGGGCTGGCGCCCGCCGCCTCTGCGATCGCCCGCAGGTTGGCGAGGGGGCTCTGTGTCTCCAGGGCCGTGCGGAAGATCTTCTTCTCAGCGAGCTCGCACTGTTCCTCCAGCGTCATGCGTTGCGTGGTTACCTGCGCGCTCTTGCGTGTAGACACCGGCCCCATGCGCAGCAACATGTCCAACGCGCGCTTCTGGCCCGACATTGACATTTTCCACCAGTCGCGCACGTTGGCGTCGGTTGTGGACTGGGCTCGGAAAGCAGAGTTGTTTACTTGAGCGTAGCCTTGGTCCACGGGCCAACCAAGCGCTTTGAGATTGGCGACGGCCTGGGGTGCTCCCGCATCAGCGTGCGTGAGAACGGCACGGAGGCACCCCTGCACATCCTTGCTGAAGAGCTGGAAGATGTGCGTTGCCACGGCAACCATGCTCGGGCTGCTCTTACCCTCGTTCGCCTTGCAGGTGAAGACTACGGCGTTGACGTGCTCGATCATCTTGAACAACTCTGCCATGGCGGCGGTAATGAAGTTGTCCGCCTCGTGCCCCCTGCAATCGCCATAGCCAGGCGTGTCCACAATGTACAGCGTATGGCCCTGGAATCGGGGCCCGATGGGCCGCAATCGGTACACGGTGATGTGCTGGGTGACGGATTGCGTCGGATCGGCAGCGCGGTCATCGATCAGCATGATGCGGTGGGTGTCCGCGAGGTCGCCGCCCAACAAGAACGAGACGAACGCGTTGATCTCCGTTGATTTCCCGGCCCCCGTGGGGCCAGCAAACATGAGGACGAGCGCCCGCGCCTCCTGCTCGGGGCCCAGAGTGATCTCGGGCTTGAAGTCGGACGCAACGTCGGTCATGATGGCAGCCAGTTTTCCTGCGAACTCGCCGCTCTCGCACGGTCTCCTTGCAACGGTACACGAGCCAAGGAAGAGCGAATCCTCCGTAGACTCCCAAGGCTTCTTGCCGCCGACCTTGTCAGTCCATCCCCCGGCCCCGGTCGACTCGAGCCGGGCCTTATTCTCATGGTAAAAAGCGATTATGTCCCTGGCGGCACTGGGCAGCTTGCCCGTCCGCTTGACGTTCGGAGGGGAGCGCGCCGAGAAGCCAATGTCGGAGCACGTCTGCACGCGCACCTCGAAGTCCGTATTTGGATCCAGGGGGCCGAGTTCGCAGCGGTAAGCGCCCCCCTGCGCCCCCGGTACGCACTCGTAAGGATCTCCCGCAGGCGCATCCCTCCACTCGAACTCCGCGTATTCGTTGACGATCTGATCGAAGGTGTCCAAGTCGGCGTTTGGGCGGGGCCGCCAGAGCACGCGAAAGCTGCGGGGGGGCATCGAGTTCTGCTGCTCGAGGCACTCCCACTGGACATGCATGGTCTGCTCGTTGCACCGCAGCTTGACGTTCTCTGGGGGGCCGGGGAAGAGCTTGGTGATTATGCGGACTCTGCCATCCAAGAAGAGCACCAAGTCGCCGACCTCTGTCTTTTTCATCTTCTCGTCCGTCGACCAGAAGGGGATTCCCTTGTTCACGATCCCAACCCCATACTCAGCGTCGAAGCTGGCCGCCTTGTTGTCCACCTGGAGCGCCACGACGTCGGCGAAGGATTTCTGCAGCAGAGACGCAGTGGAGCTCCGATGGAACCACTCTTCCTCCTCCTCCTCCGAATCGCCGTCGACGGCGACGGCGTCGCATGTCAGCGATGTTTCCAATTTGTGGCACGGGTTGTTGATGTCCTTTCCGGCCAGGGAGAGCAAGATGCGCGGCTTGCTGCTGCCGATGGCGGGCTGGACCTTGGCCACGGGGTCCATGTAGTTGGCAAAGCCGGTCTCCAACAGGAAATTGACATATGAACTCAGCACAGCGGTCTCCTGATTCTTCAGCTCCACGTACTTAATGGCAGGCTTCGTCTGGCGCGTCATGCGATCCACGGCGTGCTGGAGCTCAAAGGTGTCCTTGTCTGTGGTGCTGCTATCCCCGTCCCTGAGCTTCGGCGCCAAGTTACGCACGGCAGTGCGGAAGGTAATGATGCAGGAATTAAAGGCGGTGGCGAAGTTTCTGCGCTGGGTCTCTACACATGGGAACGCATTCACTGCGACGCACAAGGACTCAGCAGACAAGTGAACGCCCTCCGCAGTCTTCAGAGCAGCAGATACGTCCTCCATGGTGCGCGCGTCGAGCCGCGTCACGACGCGGCGGGCCTCGGAGTCGACGAAGGACAGGGGGAGGAGCACCATCTTGAGCGAATTGTTCAGGTCACTCAACCTTGTGGGCAACTCCTTGCCGACCCGAGCCGCGTCCTCGATGGTGCCGACGGTTTCCGTGATGGCGCCGCGGACACTGATATCGGTGCCCTCGAAGTCTTCTTCCTCGCCCTCCTCCCAATCCATGCTCAGCTTGCCCGAAATGGGTATGAAAGCCTTGAGTTTTCCAGCCAGTGCGCCAGAAATCCGGGTCTGATCCTCCTTAGAGCTACACTTTTTAGTGAAGGTGATGTTGCCCGTCGCTCCCTCGTAAACCTCCGCGACAACATGCGTAATGCGAGGGTCGTCGAGCAAAATTTGAAATTTCATGTTTTTTCAAAAGCTCCATTGGCATGTACCTTCTATGCTTGACAACGGTGCAGGACACGTCCACGCGGGCTTCGTGCTCGTGGTGCTGCGTGTTCTTCAGGTACTGGGCGGACCCGCTGAGCGCGAAGATGCCGAAGTCGATCTCCACGGAGCCTTCGGCGTCGAGGTTGTGGTGCTTCCGGAGGTCCTTCATGCTGGTGGTGAAGTCGAAGGTCGTGTCTGGGCATGGAACGACCTCCTGCCCCTTTTTGATGTCGTCGAGGCGCCAAAGGGAGATGCTTGGGATGATCCCGCCAGTGCGGGCGTTGTAAAGCTGGCCAATTTCAACCTGTTCCCCACGAGTCGACTTAGTGATCACGTTCTCTGCGGCATCGCTGGCCAATTCACTCGCAGCGACCATCTGGGGAATCAGACCTAATGCGACACTGGATATGGAATGCGCTTGTAAAAGATATGGAATGGGTTGGTGAACCTGCAGCTTGAACCACAACTGTTACGGAGGCGCTTCGGGGCCTTCTTGGAGGCGCCACGGGGCCACAATTCTTAGCAGGGTGCGCCCGTCGCTGACGAGCTCAAGAAGGTCTGCACTGATATCAACAAGAGCGTTCTCGAGATGAAAAATCTGATGGCCCGCCAGGAGGCCGTTTCATCGGCGGCGGCGCCAACGAGATCGCGGAGGCTCGTTCCGCGCGAGGGCTTGGGGAGATCTAGCAGCGAGACGAACGAAGATCGGGAATCCAGGAGGCGCGAGCTGAGCTGGGCTGAATATTAAGGGGGATGGCATGGGGCATGAGAGATTGAAGAGTATATGGGGGGCAATGACATGTTCGCACTTCTTGCTGCGCCGAGGGCGCGCGCCAGCGAGCCAGACTCCGCGATGTGCTGCGCTTGCTCAATCTGATCTCCTCCATTCTCTCCGACCTATCCTTCTCCTCCAGTCCTCTCCGACCGCCCCTTCCTCTCCGACCTTCTCCTTCCTCGCTCCAATTGCTGATGCATGGGGCATGAGAGATTGAAGAGTATATGGGGGGCAATGACATGTTCACACTTCTTGCCGCGCCGAGGGCGCGCGCCAGCGAGCCAGACTCCGCGATGTGCTGGGCTTGCTCAATCTGACCTCCCCCATTCTCTCTCCGACCTATCCTTCTCCTCTCCGACCGCCCCTTCCTCGCTCCAACTGCTGATGCGATGCACAGATGTTCGTATAAGCGACGTGGCGCAGTGCTGCTGCACGCGGCCGAAATCGCGTTCGCAAACCTGATCTTCAGGATTTGCATGCGGCAGCTGCAGAACACGAAGAGGGAGGAGGGAGGGGGGGGAGTGGGAGGTAGGAGGAGGGAGGAGGGGCGGAGTGGAATTGGAAGGGGAGGAGGGGGGCTGAGGCTATTTCTGCAGCAGAGACGCAGTGGAGCTCCGATGGAACCACTCTTCCTCCTCCTCCTCCGAATCGCCGTCGACGGCGACGGCGTCGCATGTCAACGATGCCTCCAATTTGTGGCACGGGTTGTTGATGTCTTTTCCGGCCAGGGAGAGCAAGATGCGCGGCTTGCTGCTGCCGATGGCGGGCTGGACCTTGGCCACGGGGTCCATGTTGTTGGCAAAGCCGGTCTCCAACAGGAAATTGACATTGGAATTCAGCACAGCGGTCTCCTGATTCTTCAGCTCCACGTACTTAATGGCAAGCTTCGTCTGGCGCGTCATGCGATCCACGGCGTGCTGGAGCTCAAGGGTGTCCTTGTCGGTGGTGCTGCTATCCCCGTCCCTGAGCTTCGGCGCCAAGTTACGCACGGCAGTGCGGAAGGTAATGATGCAGGAATTAAAGGCGGTGGCGAAGTTTCTGCGCTGGGTCTCTACACATGGGAACGCATTCACTGCGACGCACAAGGACTCAGCAGACAAGTGAACGCCCTCCGCAGTCATCAGAGCAGCAGATACGTCCTCCATGGTGCGCGCGTCGAGCCGCGTCACGACGCGGCGGGCCTCGGAGTCGACGAAGGACAGGGGGAGGAGCACCATCTTGAGCGAATTGTTCAGGTCACTCAACCTTGTGGGCAACTCCTTGCCGACCCGAGCCGCGTCCTCGATGGTGCCGACGGTTTCCTTGATTGGGCCGCGGACACTGATATCGGTGCCCTCGAAGTCTTCTTCCTCGCCCTCCTCCCAATCCATGCTCAGCTTGCCCGAAATGGGTATGAAAGCCTTGAGTTTTCCAGCCAGTGCGCCAGAAATCCGGGTCTGATCCTCCTTAGAGCTACACTTTTTAGTGAAGGTGATGTTGCCCGTCCCCCCCTCGTAAACCTCCGCGACAACATGCGTGACGCGAGCGTCGTCGAAGAAACTTGGAAATTTCATGTTTTTCAAGAGCTCCATTGGCATGTACCTTCTATGCTTGACAACGGTGCAGGACACGTCCACGCGGGCTTCGTGCTCGTGGTGCTGCGTGTTTCTCAGGTGCTGGGCGGACCCGCTGAGCGCGCAGATGCCGAAGTCGATCTCCACGGAGCCTTCGGCGTCGAGGTTGTGGTGTTTCCGGAGGTCCTTCAGGCTGGTGGTGACGTCGAAGGTCGTGTCTGGGCATGAAACGACCTCCTGCCCCGCTTTGATGTCGTCGAGGCGCCAAAGGGAGATGCTTGGGATGATATCGCCAGTGCGGGCGTTGTAAAGCTGGCCAATTTCAAACTGCTCCCCACGAGTCGACTTAGTGATCGCGTTCTCTGCGGCATCGTTGGCCAATTCACTCGCAGCGACCATCTGGGGAATCAGACCTAATGCGACACTGGATATGGAATGCGCTTGTAAAAGATATGGAATGGGTTGGTGAACCTGCAGCTTGAACCACAACTGTTACGGAGGCGCTTCGGGGCCTTCTTGGAGGCGCCACGGGGCCACAATTGTTAGGAGGGCGCGCCCGTCGCTGACGAGCTCAAGAAGGTCTGCACTGAGATCAACAAGAGCGTTCTCGAGATGAAAAATCTGATGGCCCGCCAGGAGGCCGTTTCATCGGCGGCGGCGCCAACGAGATCGCGGAGGCTCGTTCCGCTCGAGGGCCTGGGGAGATCTAGCAGCGAGACGAAGATCGGGAATCCAGGAGGCGCGAGCTGAGCTGGGCTGAATATTAAGGGGGATGGCATGGGGCATGAGAGATTGAAGAGTATATGGGGGGCAATGACATGTTCGCACTTCTTGCCGCGCCGAGGGCGCGCGCCAGCGAGCCAGACTCCGCGATGTGCTGCGCTTGCTCAACCTGACCTCCTCCATTCTCTCCGACCTATCCTTCTCCTCCAGTCCTCTCCGACCTCCTCCTTCCTCGCTCCAATTGCTGACGTATGGAAGTCGAGGAGGGGAGAAGTAGATTAGCAAGAGCCGCCGAAGCCGATTTCAGGGCAGACCAGATGACGCCCGCAGCTTAGCTGAGGTCACTGAAAGACTGGGCCGACACAGCCGATCGCGGGGCAACCCCGGCCACCGACCTATACGCCCTTTGCAAGCCGGTGTCTCCAATCACCAGCGCGACGAGAATGCAGGAGGGGGAGAGGATGAGGAGGTGGAGGGGGAGGAGGACAAGGAAGAGAAGAGGATGGGGAGGTGCAGGGGCTAGGAGGATGCATTCGCATTCCTCAGGCCCCAGAATCTTCTTCAGCCGGCACAGGAGGTATGTAAGAGTAGAGCCGAGCGAAATGCCAGAAACACTCTGGCGGCATCATGCGGAGCGGCCCCTCACGAAGCTGGATCTTGTTGGGGTCGACTTCTCCGCGTTCGAAAAGTTGGGCCGCGCTTGCCCCGATCTCGTTGAACCTGTCGTAGTCCGAGAGCGTTGAACCTGTCGTAGTCCGATTCGGCGGTGGCGCTGCGGCAGATTCGTCGCAATGCGGCATTGCGACATCCTCGGCGTCGTCGTCGTAAGTGTTGGCGTAATACCTGGGGTCGCAGCGTTCTGACCCAACATCCCGCGTAGGATCCCGACCTCGAATCTTCGGCCATTGAACGATGCACTCTACGTCCCCAGGCGGCGGTTACAGTCGGAGAAGTCATGGTAGTACGTGTTGCCGACAATGCGCCGCTCAGGGAGTCGTCGTCGTTGACCAAGAAGTTTGGTTTCCGCGTTCTCTAGGTTCCGCATGCGTTGCCGTTGCAACTCCCGGAGCCGTCGCAGCAGCCCCGGAGGCGCTTCTCTGAAGCCGTTCGAGCCGCCGGAGGCAGCGCCCCGCGCCCCCGCGGCCGCCGAGCCCCCGAGCTCGCCCCGAGCGGCATCGTCTCCTGCAGCAGCAACCGCCTGCCCAAAATCCTGCGCGGTGTTTCCGGCATCTGCAATTGCTGAGCCTCCGCGCCCGCCCTCAGCATCAGCGTCTCTTGCTGGGGCAACCGCCGAGGCCTCGCGCTTGCCCTCGTCTCCTGCCGCAGCTCCTCCGGGCTGCCCCTGCTGCGGCTCGGGCTCCTCGTTCATGGCCCGGGGGCGCGGCCGTGGGCCGCGATGGCTGTCGCGCCTGCCCTCGGCAGCAGCGTCTGCTGCAGCAGCAACCGCCGAGCCTTCGCGCCAGCCCGCAGCAGCAGCGTCTCCTGCAGCAGCAGCGTCTCCTGCGGCCGCCGAGCTGCCCGGAGGTGCCGCAGCCGCCAAGCCCTCGTGAAAAACGCGCAGAGCCGTCGCCAAGTCGTCTATCGCCCTCGCGATGGACGGGTCAGGCGCGCCACCTGAGCCCTCGCGATGATCGGGCGGCGCGCGGGGTGCACGTCTTGAGCCCGCGGGCGGCGCGCGGGGCGCGCGACCCGACTCCGCCCGATGAATGGGCGGCGTGCGGTCCTTCGGTGCCGGGCTCCTCACGCGTGCCTTGCCTGCCGAGCTCCACTCGCCCCAATCGTCGTCGGAGTCGTCGAAGGTCGCTGGCGCTTCTCCCTGCCCCGGCCCCCAGGTATTGGAGGCCGAATGTCTCGCTGAATCGGCTGGCCGCTTCTTCGGCCGCGGTTCGAGTCTCGGATGCAGCATGCCCCAATCGTTGTCGGAGTCGTCGAAGGTCGCTGGCGCTTCTCCCTGCCCCGGCCCCCAGGTATTGGAGGCCGAATGTCTCGCTGAATTGGCTGGTCGCTTCTTCGGCCGCGGTTCGAGTCTCGGATGCAGCATGCAGGTGCCGCCCTGCCAGTCTGAGCCAAATCGGCTACAGAGGAGGTCGACGAGGGGACGAGGAGGATATGCGATCCTATGGGGCGTCGAAACGTGCGAGGGGCGTGCCAGAATGGGCGGGGGTCCCCGTGCGAATTGAGTCATTGGGGCTCTAGGTGGAGCTCCCTATGCTATGGGGCCACGCAACGTGTGAGGGGTGTGCCGAAACGGGCGCAAGGCTTGACCCAGGAACGTGAGGCGGGGGGTCCTCCTCTTCCCTGCTCCCTACTCTCTGCTCCCTCCTC